TTTCGAAACCTCGATCAAAGCCTCGGACAGACGGACCTAACAGAGGGCCGAATGGAAGAGGAGAATTGAGGAGGCCGCGGACCGGAGAGCCATAGAATAAGAAGCTTTGCAGCATCTTTTCACTTGTGGTATCATCCGACCCAATTTCAGAAGGCTTTTCAACATTTCATCCTTTAATAGCTACTTAAATCACTGAAACTTCATTTTAATAAACATTTTGCCTTGGTCATTCACGATTTATTATTGCATTTGCTCGAAACTTACCTGGACGACGACGGAAGTCGACGGAGCCAGCAAGAGGTGGGGGACCTTCGTCATCGAAATCTATCAGACAGAAAATTTTTTAGCGTAAGCTTGACACTTCGAAACTATGTACGATTACTTGGACTGTACCATAGCAATGCACAATTGCAATGACTGAACATCATTAATTATTTTGAACTCTTGTCACATGGTATGCTTTGCAGCGTCCCACTTAATGGTACCAGCACCTTGTCGTGGTGGTGGGGCTTGAGCACGTCAGTGACCCCAAGAGCTACTGGTAGGGCCTCCCTAGCCAGATTGGTCGAGGGGGAGAGGTCAGACTAAGACAGGTACCCTGTTCTTCCAGGTTGGGTGTTGGTCGCAAGGCTAACAACCTTGCACCGTAAAAAGGAAGAGGTTTCGAAACCTCGATCAAAGCCTCGGACAGACAGATTCCGAATGGAAGAGGAGAATTGAGGAGGCCATGGACCGAATAGGGACCGGAGAGCCAAGAGCATCTTTTCACTTGTGTGGTATCATCCGACCCAATTTCAGAAGGCTTTTCAACATTTCATCCTTTAATAGCTACTTAATTCACTGCAACTTCATTTTAATAAACATTTCGCCTTGCCCATTCACGATTTATTATTGCATTTGCTCGAAACTTACCTGGACAACGACGGAAGTCGACAGAGCCAGCAAGAGGTGGGGGACCTTCGTCATCAAAATCTATCGGACAGAAATTTTTTTAGTGTAAGCATGACACTTCGAAACTATGTACGATTACTCGGACTGTACCATAGCAACGCACAACTGCAATGACTGAATATCATTAATTATTTTGAACTCTTGTCACATGGTAGCCAGGCATACAGTTCGCGACTGTAATCTTGAGACTTGCGAGGTGAAGGAGGATGGATCAGCCTTTAACGCTTCGGACTTCCTGCATTCCTTGCAAGTCTCAAGATTACAGTCACAAACAGCAGAGGGTAACTGCTGACAAGTGTTAATGTCCTTCAGCTCGTGTCTTGGGCACAGGGGCCAGTGCCCCCTTACCAAAACTAGAACACTGTCATGTGTAACACAGAACTTCAGATTTGGATAGAATGTCCGGACTGTCCAAAGGAACGTGAATATTGTTGGGGCGATGGAATCGGGGACGAAGCCGAGGTACATCCTACATGAACTGCCATGGACAACGATGCTGCAGTATCACCAAAAATGCAACTTTCCTCATGATTTGTGATATACACCCTGATGATGGAGACGGAGAGTCTCTGAAATGCTAGACTGTGATTCCATTTTGATGCGGCCTGTCACCCAGAAGATTTTATTGGATGTACGCTTTGTTTCGTTAAGACGCCGACCAATGCCCAAAATAAGATTGTTACAGTGACACCCAGTGAATGAATAAAACTGAAATTAGTTCCAGAATATAAAATTGAATTTTGCTTAGGCTTTTTCTAATTAATATACTCAATAACTAATATTAATCAAAAATTAAGTTTTTAACAAACAGCAACATTTAAGAAACTGTGTGTGATGGTTATATTAATTTTTTTAAAATAATTTTGTATTACGTAATAATTTATGTGGCCAAGTTCTCTTTTACACACATTTGCGGCAACCTAGCCCCTCGTTTCTGTGATCCGCGACTCTTGTACATATTTTTCTCTTACAGCTGTTTCCACACATGTGGGTCAACTTTTGCAAGATCCAAAAAAAGATAAGCAAAAGAAATGGAAAGGCCACAAAATTTTACGTAGACAGAAAGCGTAAAATTACAACATTCAACGTGCATTTTAAAACGATACTATTATATGCAGTGGAGATACGGACATGTACCGAGAGAGCGACGGAAGTAAACTGTAAGCAGTTGAGATGAAATTCCCGAGGGCAAGTCGGGAAAACCAGGAGAGAGAGCTCAAGATGAAGGAAATACAGAATCACCTGCTCTGGATATTAATGTTGACTTGCTTTCATTTTCTAACTCGGTAAATCGCAAACTCGAGAAAAAAAGTAAAATTCTTACCGCTGCTCGTCTTGCTTTCATTTTCTAACTCGGTAAATCACAAACTTGAGGAAAAAATAAAAATTCTTACCGCTGCTCGTGTTGTTGACCTGGAACGCGCGGCCTCTGTTGTTTGAATACATTGAACCGTCTTCACATCCCGGACTCCGAATAATTGCCTTTCTTTGTGCGGGTCCATTACTTCTCACTTGCGCGGTAACCTTTGATCTATGTTCAGAATACCCGTTCAACATCTCACCCTTTAACGGCTCTTTATCCTTCGGGACTTCGTTCTCAGCGACATTTTGCTCGCCATTTTGTCTTGGCTCTTTATGATTCACTGAAAAATTTTCATTTTTTGGATGATAATTTTTAGGCTTTGGGTTAAAAAATCTTTTTTGTCCATTATTCTGCTTAAAATTCGTGTGGAAATTCTTTCTGAAGCCACTGTAGTTAGATCCACTATTCTGGTAATTAGCATCTCTGTTATCCTCTGAAACCTGATGGCTGTAAACAAATATTAAATTAATTAATAAACAAATGTTCACTTGCTAATCATAACATATTTTTTCAAGGGTTTGGTTGTCATGACAGAAGAAGTAGAAGGGAAGTGGGCGTAGTTAAAGCTGATGATCACGACAGCAAACGGAGCAACGGAAATACAATAAGAATGTCCGCGTAATAACGTGCGGTCTCACGAAGAAGCATTTCGTGGATTACCTTGTCGAAGGTTTGGCCACGTTTCCACTCTGTTGCTTTGGTCCATGTGGTCTGGTGGAAAGTGCCATCTTTACGCTTAACTCTTTTGTTTTCGTCATGTCTTCCAGGCAGTTCTTTGTCTCGTCATAATCGCTGTAACGGACGAACACCATTCCGTTGGTGTCGGTGCCAGAAAACCTGACGGACGAAACTCGTCCGTATCGCCCGAACACTTCCCAGATCTTCTCCTCACTGTACGCTTTGTAGTTTTTGAAACACACCGCGTACATTCCATCAGCTCCTCGACTGATTTCAAAGCTCATCTGCAAATTAAAGATAGAATATGAAGAAATATAAAACAACTCCGTATTGCGCTCTGCTGGGTCGCGACACCAATGTTTAGGAGGAATCTATCACCACCATCTTCTGCATAGACTTGTACCTTCCAAGTGGCCCAAATCTTCCAGAACCCACCCCAAAACTTCAACAACTACTTACACAACAGTTACAGAAAGTGTCGCAACGACTTAGAAATTCTAAGAAAAAAGAACAGAGTAAATAATGTAATGTCTTCACACGTTAGGTTCAGCAAGATTATGTTACTGCTCGTAAATTATTAAATTATGTAGGATTTGAGGTTTCCATGGCAGCGAGTCCAAAGATTGTTGCACGCCGCAGTCTGGCTGAAGTTTTCTGTTTCAGAGGTCCTTGCTGCCTCCGTTGCCCTAACGACGAAGACGGCAGGGACCTCTGAAAAGCTCGTATAAAACTTCTACGAGACTGCACGGCGCGACAACCAACAAGACAGACATCTTAGGTTAGGTTACATTCAAAAAAGGCAGCAGAGGAATAGCACATGATGAGGAGCTTCATAAGTTATACTCTTCATCACGCAGGATGAAACGGGTAGGTCACGTAGTATACGCAAAGAGATATGAAGAATGCACACAAAATTTTGGTCAGAGTACATTAAGGGAAGAGCTCACTTTTAAATGGGAGGAAAACATCGGAAATGATCTCAAAGACAGAGGCATACAAAATGATATTTATCTAGCTCAGGGTAGGATCCTGTGGTCAGTTCTTGTGAATGTGGTAAGGTCAGATACCGCAAGAGCCGAGAGTTTCTTTATCACCAGAGTATATGGAGTATAATTCAACCCGTGGCTTATGTTTCATTTGGTTACGTTAATGTAATTCACCCACAAAGGATAATTTCCAAAGAATTCATTAGCATTTTCTCTCTTAGTTTTAGTGTGTTTACACTTAGCACAATGTTTAGATTCAAGATTATTTTGTGCCAGATCAAAATTACTCAGTCTTTTATTAAAATACTATTACAACACTTGCAACACTGTTGTTGCAGGCACAAGTAATACAGTAAATAGAAGGCCAAATGAGACTGAAGGAATGCCCTCCCTTCAGTTTCTTAATCCTCTCCATTAGGAATTATCTTCTACCCGAGTCACTCAAGTGTAAATTCATTGTAAGAAATGAGAAACATAATCAATGAATACCGAGATCATCATATAAATGGACAGTCCACAATTTACAATGCAAGTCATTACATGAAGACCTTTTAATACCAAATTTCATTACATCTGTTCAGACAGATTAAGTAAACAGACTGAAGATTATAAAAAATCTGTTTTGACTGTCTACTGGCTAGCAGCATCTTACATAAAATTAGTATGAGTCAAACATACAAATGAACCCTTAACATTTTTCTCTCTCATGCTTTATGTAACGAATTCCTTTTTTATGCTGTGATGTACACTGTCTGGTAACACCTGAATATAAACTGGCCAATTTTAATGAACTTTTCATATTCATACATTAATACGAACATGGTAAATGTTTAAAGACTGTATACCTTTGTATATTTCTAGTACTGGATGTTGGGATAATAAATCACACATATATTTAAAACGTTCGGCACGCTTGTACATGCATACAAACGGACTAAAAATAGAAAAAAGTTTTCTCATAAATCTTCCTGTACATAACCTCATTCTTGAAAACCCACGTATTCAAGTTTTCAGCTTTCCTACTCAACATACTCAGCAGTAATTAGATAGTTACTGGTGCTTTCCTTCACTGTATCTTTACAGGACTTTTGCTGAAGTAAGCCTTTGTTTCTTGCATCTCTTCCTATCTGTTTGTTTATCTGCCCTAACACCTACAGATAACATTTATCTTCCGGTGGTTTTAACCACATATGACGTGTCTTAATACACGCGAAAGCTATTTACTATCTACGACAGAAATACAATTTCTGTACATACAGGAGTTACTTACTTTCAGTATTTAAACTAAAAATAAAAGTTAAAACAATTCACATAAGCACGTTACAACGAACCACAATGCCCCGTAGAAATTCCAGAGATTACTAAAATAGTCAAGCAAACACATAACACCAAGTATTTCACGTATCACAGATGAGCTAAACATGACCTACACTTATCGATCACGAAATGAGAGTACCAAAAGTTATCACAAGTGGCGCTGCTGCTTACGACGACTGATCCATTGAACACGGATGTGTTTATGGTGTTATGAGATAAGAGAGGAGACACAGGTGTCTCTACTGCCGAAAAGAGTAGCAGCATGATGGAGAGAATGCTGAAACGAGTGGGGCTGCAAAGCAACAAGAAAGTGCTTGACACCGAAAAACAAGCAGCAGAGACGGAGGCAGGAGCGTGTAGTAACATTGAGGTTAAAGTTAAAGATGTTGCCGCGGACGACAGAAAAAGTCAAGACAGTGGTGAATTGCAGTTGTGCGATTTATTGAGTTTCAGGAACGTGTGCGCGCACGGGACAGCTGAGAGCGGCAGTGGCTGTTCGTCGGATAGTACCGGAAATCAGCTGCGAAATGACGACGACTCCGTGGTTCGCCGTTCCAGGCGTTCGCGTGTTTTTAATTTTCATTATTTAGATTTACACATGATGGAATTCAAACCGCGTGCGATTACAAGGCGTTTGTGTGGTGGGAAGAAACCAGACAACGAATTGTATCGGAGCAACAGCTTCAAATTCGAACGGTTTGAGAGGATTGACGATTCAGGTTGTCTCCACAAACAGGTGAGGAGAATCTTTTTAATATAATACTTGCTTGGCTTGGCTTCTTGAATGGAACAATGCGCTATTCTGTTTTCTTCTGTTATTTGTTTTGAAGTGTTCACGTATGTTAACTCACTGCTGAATTAAAGATATTAAAATAAGCTTACAAACAAACTTGTTTACACAATAAAATACACTAGTGCCAAACGCGTTTCGACCTCAAGAGGTCATCATCAGTGGCAAAAAGGGAATTAGTTAATATAATCTCATAAAAATATGGTTTTAAACAGATTATGAGGTTAATAGTGAGTTCTTTACAAAACCATAACAAGCAACAATTCACAGAAGTTGGTGTGTTATATTTTATACACTAAGCTGTTGGTCTGACTGTAAACAACAACGAAGCGTAGGGCGTTATTAACTCTGAATTCAGGGTGGCCAACAATTGTATATGAAATGTACTTTTCCCTATTTAAGGATGTTTAGATGTTTTGTGGATTACTACGTCTGAGATTGTGAGTTTCTTGTAATGCCCAATTGGAATTCTTTTGTGTGTCTATGGATGGCGAGGTCTAGAAAGTTGATTTTAACTTTTGATTCATGTTATTATGGTCATCTAGGATGTGTTTGGCTGTGGAGAAGGATTCGTCAAAAGTATTTATAATGTCATCAACGTATCTAGCGATATATTTTATATGTCATTGTTTTATTATGTTTGGGTAAAACTTCTTTTCAATTTATTGTTAAAAAGTTACTAGAAATCGGGGAGCCCATTGTTGTACAGTCATGGCACTAACCCCTCTCATCCCGCTAACACGTGCTGTTGAAACACGAGAATTTAACTGTCGATGGAATTCAGAAGTCATAGTTAAATAAACTGAGAACTTCTTTTGACGTAAATACGTCTATATGGAAGGGTCATTCCGCGAAAAAGTGTAACGAAAATGTGTAAGATCCATATCAACAATGTGTAAATTTGGACCGACAACAATGGTCAGCTTGCGTGCATTATGTTACCTAGGAAACGTCATCTGTTTACTCGACATTGTTGTGTTATATTACTGTGTAACAAGATGGATGACATTGAAGATAACATTACATTACACAGACGTAAATATAATTTAAATACAGAGACGTATTTACGTTAAATTCTCCGGAACCGTGGTTTCTTGTGTCTACGTGCTTAACAAAGGGACCAGTTACTAGCTGAGCGACTGTCAATTTCTCAAGAAATACTCTGCTCCGTGGACTTACAGTTACCATTGTTGTTACTAATACCAAGACCACAATCAGTTTTTTATAGCCGACTGCAGACTCGACCTTGGCACTAGTTTAGATCCAGCGTAGAAGGATTTTTTTATCAACGAAATGATTCATCCTTCACCCGGTCTCGGGTGTCACGTGTTGACTGAGCTACGTCTGAATTAATCGACCAGGACATTTTGTAATAGACAAAAATGATTCAAAGTTTTATTAAGATGTTAATTTTTCGTCATTAGTTTTTAGGTCACGTTTTGCTGACCAGAAGTTGCTGATACAGGGTGATCGTTAAAGTCAGGCATCATTTTAGTAAAATACGTATTTATGGTTGGAACTCAATGGATTATTACACACTGTGACTATAACAAGAGCCCACGCAGATCGCGTCATGTGACCTGTTCGCGCTTGTGTCCGTCAATTGTCTTTCAACAATCGAAGTGCGTGGAGTCCGATACTCATTAAACTCCAAAATAATTCATTCGAGATTACTGAAACTTGTGCATTAAAAATATTAATAATGTTAACGATAGGCAAGTCGGGTTTGGATGGGGTACGGGGAAGAGATTTGATAAGTTTGTTACCCTCTACACTAACGTCACTGAGAAAACTTTTTATTCAGATTGGATTATCCTTCGTAAGATTTTATAACTCCAAGAATGTTACGTACATCCAAAGGAACCTGATTCTTCATTATTGCAGATGGTTTTACGCGTTCTTTCGAGGGGGCACAGACGTCTTAGATAAGTGATGTGACTTGTAGTCATGACGACGACTGAAGTCGATAAAATTCTCCCGGGCGAATAGAGGTCCATAGTTCAGAACCGTCACTATACTCGACGCCCAGAATATTTTATCATTTTAGATAAAGTTTTTCTGTAGTGATTAAGCATTGTCCCACTTGTATTATTACGTAAACAGCCCCCCCCCCCAAAAAAAAAAGAACATGGAGTTGAATGTTACAAGGAACTGATTATGAATTTTATTTCACAACAAATTCAACAATGCAGTGTTGAGAGAGAGTTCATTGTTGTTTTTCGTCGGATTTCTGTGTTTGTGAGAAGTTTTTGAAGGAGAACGTGTGCAAGAATGGCCCTCGCACTGAATAAGAATTGAAACAAAATGTCTATACTCTCCTGAATTTTTAAACGTCAACCCGGAAACTATTGTTTAACATCCGACATGAGGAAAAGCGTGAACTCGGTGGACATTTCGAGAACTAGTTGCGACTTTGTTTGGTTTTTTGTTGTTGTGATTTCGACGTAATTTACCTTTGACAAAGTTAACGTGTGTCAAGAATGGGTTGTTCGACGTATATTAAACGTGAAAAGATAAAGGATTGTAAATAACTTGCCAGAATTATGCATATTTGTCATCCGATCCTAAAACATTACGTAGGCCCACGTAACCTTGTTAGTCACGGATTTAACGTAGCGTTGGGTATTTCATAGACGGGCCGTGAGCAAGAACTTGGTAAATAGATTAGCCCTGATTAACCAGCGTGCATATCTAACGATCTGCGTTTAAACAAAGTCAAGGTGAAATTAGTTTCTGAACTGAATATTTGTACATTTCCGCGACGAAAGCAAGAACCCGAACATTATCTTTGTTGTACGGATGGGTGCGAAACTTGGTCTCTCCGGGTCTAGTAAATTCGTTATGGCGCGGTAAAGTTGTTAGCACTTTGAATTCGGGAGGTCCCGAGAGACCACGTGTCCTGACATTCTTGTGGTGCTCCGCAGTCACTCTGGACAAATGATGAGACAGTGCCTTGGATGACGTCACGACAGTTTCCTTCCAAATCATTTCCGGTTCATTAATCACCCGACGCTAGAAGTCTGAGATGCAGACAGCGTCGTTTAACAAATAAAAGAAACATGGGACACGAGAAGATAATATTAAAATGGATGTGGTGCGAGGATGAAGACTACAGTGTCGGTTCCTTGTGAACACGGCAATGGACCCTCTGGTTTTAATGCCCAGGACTTCGCTGACTGCGGACGTTTCTGAAACACCCTGCACCAAGCAATTAGCTCGTTATAGTTGTAATTAATGCGTTAATTAAGGTCGTATTAAGCAGCTGTTGGGAGCTGCTATTTGGAGCTTAGAGAGCGGACTTAAGGAGCTCGCTGCTATGAATTTGACTCGAACAAGAGATAAGCCATTTCAAATTAACCCAGCAATTAGGTTCTTCACCAGAGGTTTGAGAACAGCCGGGTACGGACTGGACGACCGGGGTTCGATCCCCGACTGGGGCAGAGGATTTTTCTGCGTCCAGGCCGGCTCTGGGGCCCACCCAGTCCTTTCCCGGGGGTAAAGCCGGCCGGGGCGTGATGCTGACCACTCACCCCCATCTAGTGTCGAGGTCAAGGAAGATTAGGAGCTATGCCGCTCTCTCCCCCACAGTGGGATAGTTTTTACTGATGTCTAAAGCAGAGGCAACTTGTGAAACGCCCTGTGATTTTCAAACGAAAAGGAAGGATGTCGAAGAATCACTGCTTTAGTTTAATGCAGAAGAAAAGGTCCATGGACAGGCGAGTGTATAGAAAAGTTAAACCCCCACAACCGAAAAGTGGGCGAAAGACTTTCACTTGTGCGTAGTATATAAGCAAACATCGTTCTTGAATGCGAGTGATGCAATTTCGAGATGACATCTCTAAGCGAAGAACAAGTGAATGTGGTCTCGTCGCTTCCATCAGTAGATCGAATCAATGATCTCCATTTTCTCCTATTAACGAGATCAAGAGAAAGGTGAAGCCTGCAAGCCATATTCTTTAGCGTCCTACAAGTAACGGAGAGGCAAATGGTCAGGGCATTCTTTGAAATAGAAAGTTCGGATCTCGTTTCTAAACGCAGACTCCAGTTACGATATCTTTGTCTGTGCAATGACTAAGCTGTGGGGTCGGCGGCCTGAGTTCGGTCCTGGGCAGGGCATGATTTCTCCCCTTCTCCACAACATGAAGACCGGCTCTGGGGCTCACCCGGTCTCCAAGGGTGAAATCAGCCGGCGCGTGAAGCTACCCCCACGCCTAGCGCCCAGTTTAAGAATCCTATCTAATTAATAATTGCAGAATTTAGTCTTACGTTTCTGTTAGGTGATATACCTTCTACGAACACGATCTCAATATTTTCCTGGGTAGCAAGATTTGTAATTTGTTTCGCATAAAGATTAGTTTAATTCATGTCGACGAAAATCTCAAGACCTCGCACAGTTTAATCCAATTAGACGTATCTCCCGCACAAATTCTGTCTTTCCAGATAAGCTGACAATAGATCACGCCCCCAAATACTTAATATCACTTGCGTTTGTATGTACAAAGAATTTCGTGTTGCACAGAAATACATTTTTCATCCCGAAGTTATAAAGCAGGAATTTTTCGTTCATATTACTGTCTCAAATCCACGAAATGGCCGTCAATTTCTGTGCATTGAAAAACCTTTTATATTGTTACGCTGGAACGAAGAGGTTTTCGAAAACAAGCAACGCTAACCGTCTCATTTCCGGGGGGCTACGCGTCTCGTATTGCAAAATAACATCCGACCAGCAATTGACCAAGGGGAAAGGAGGATTCAAGTGTAGATAAGAGGAAACGAGGGGTGTTACTCATTTCAAATGGGACCGAATTCAAAATAAACGAATCAACCTAATATAATATTGTAATTTATTTTTGTACACACGTGTACCTATGTGAACGGAACTTTACATGAGTTTTGCTCAAATCCGAAGAGCTGTTTATTTCAACAGATGTTAAGAAAACATATTT